GAACGTTTTGCGCCTTTATTGGGCTTTAGAAACTTTTACCTTTATACGCTTTTTACGGAGAATGAACCTAAAGATTTCGGTGTTTATCCTACAGACAGGCTTCCGTAGTGTAGTGGTTATCATGTTTGCCTCACACGTGAAAGTTTCCCAGCTTGAAACTGGGCGGGAGGAGTCACTCTCTTTTTCACAATTTTTTGGCTTTCGTTCTGTTGAGGAGGAACTCAACACTACAAAGACTTTGCAGCCATGAACCTAAAGATTTCGGTCTGTTTTCTACAGAGAGGTTTCCATAGTGTAGTGGTTATCACATTTGCCTCGCACGTGAAATGTCCCCAGCTTGAAACTGGGTGGGAGCAGTTTCAAGCTGGGTGCTCTCTTTTTCACATTTGTTCAATTGGCTTTCTGTTGAGGAGGAACTCAACACTACAAAGACTTTGCAGCCAAGAAGCATGAAGACAGTCACTAAAGTTGAAGTTGATGCAAAAATGATAGTGCAGTCATTATTTGACAAAAACCTAACGCACACTCGTGCCATTTCAAACCTTTGTGGCTTTTTTTCTGTGGAACACAAAAGAAGATATTTGTCTGAGTGGCACACTTTTGAGCAGCAGCTCTATGCTATGAAGGCCTTTCTTTACATAGGTGTGAAGACAATTATTAAGCCACACTAAGCAGCGGTAACCGCCACGCCGACAGACTCAGTACTATTTCCAAGGTAAATTGGATGAATAGGTGGCTGGTGCATTCAAAGGCCCAATCTGTGGTATAACATTTTCCCCAAAAAATAAATTAAATTAAATTAAACCCCTAAAAAAAATTAAATTAAATTAAAAAAAAGCACAAAAGAAACGACCACTGAGGATTCCCACAGAGCACTGAAAAAAATGCTTGGCTTGCCGCTAAAAATAGAAGGTATTTGCAGATTGAAGAGCACAATGCAATCTGTAGTTTGATTTGTGCTCCAAGAAGCGTGTGATGGAAAGGTCAGACACAGTCCTTGTCGCAGGTTTCCGTAGTGTAGCGGTTATCACGTTGGCCTTACACGCGAAAGGTCCCCAGCTCAAACCTGGGCGGAAACATATGGAGACTTTTGTTCTATCTGTGCTGAAATGGCTCTCTGGTAAGCAGGGGGTCCAAGCTGCAAAGACCTTAATTTCGAGGTAGGAGAAGGCAAGTTTTTAAGGAACTCTGAACAGACTGCTACGCCGAATGAACTCTGTCCTTCTGAGTGTGTGATTTACTCAGATTGTCAATCTGCTTTCAGGGCAGATTACAGTATCAATTTTACCCGAAAGAGCACGAGAGTAAACTTTTTGAGTTTCTGTAGTATAGTGGTCATCACGTTAGCCTAACAAGCAAAAGGTCATCGGTAAGAAGCTGAGCAGAAACAGAGTTTTATTTTTGAGGGAATTCATTAACCCTTTGCGGTGTTCCAGGAGAATACCTGCTGCTTTTTCAAGATAAAGTTTCCATAGTGTAGTGGTTATCACGTATGCCTCACACGCAAAAGGTCTCTAATTCAAAACTGGGCGGAAACAAGGCTGACTTTTTCCAAGGTTGCTTAAGTTCTTGAACTGTTGCATTCTCACTCAACGCTACAAAAGGTTTCGCCTGCCTAGAGGTGTTAAAGCAAAAGAGGTTTTCTGACAGGTTTCTTTAGTGTAGTGGTCATCCCGTTTGCCTAACACGCGAAAGGGCCTCGGTTCGAAAACGAGCAGAAACAGCCGGAAAAATACCGGATGGACCCATCATAAGCTGAATTCGTTTAGCCGCATAAATCTTTCGTCTTTTACTAAAGATTTCCGTGGAGGGGAACTTTTTGCGAGTTACCTGTATTTTTGGAGACATTTCTTTTGGTTTGGGCTGAAGTCAAAGCAGAACTCCTTCTGTAACCTCTGGCTGCACCAAAACCTTATGGATGCGTCATTCGGTAGCAGAAAAACAAAATCTCTCCCCGTCGGGGTAGCGAACCCCACTCTTCCGCGTGACAGGCGGAGATACTGTCCACTATACTAACAAGCAGTTGTGCATGTATGAGTTCACCCCCAGCCAACGCCACTGCACTGTCATCAATAAGCAATGCGTGGCTTTTTCTTACGCTGACCCAGCCCTTACACCATAAAATACCGGATGGACCCATCATCAGCTGAATTCGTTTACCTTTTGCAATGCTACACGTTACAGGGGTTTTATTCGGACTCTTTTATTTGTTTAATTGTTTTCTCCAACTTCTCAGATGGAGGCATGAGAAAAAGATTGCATTGCCTTCATTGGGCTTGTGGTTACTGGGTTACTCCTACCGTTTGGAGTAAGGGGGGTGACGAAATGCAAGTGGGTAGGTGTCGACAGCCTAGATTACCCTTGGCGAGCGTAGTGGTTTACCACAGGGTGCGCACAGGCCCAACAGCTTGAGTTTCTCTTCATTATCGCATAAATCTTTCGCCTTTTACTAAAGATTTCTGTGGAGGAGTACTTTTTCCGAGTAATCTGTATTTTTGGAGGCTCTGATCACAGCAGAGCTACACTGGATTGTCAAAAAAAGAGTAAATTTGGCTGACTGCCAACATGCGGTGGGAGGTTGCGTAACTGGTCACCTTCTGTACTTGCAGCTTTTGCGGTTTCTGCGTCACCGCGTCGTATTTATTTACCTGCACGAAAAAGCCACCGCTTTCTTATAAGTGACGGGATCCAAACCCTGGACTTGGTCTCTTTAGTACCGGGCCCAAACATAGATAGCATCAGCTCCTCTAGCCCTATCTGCGACTCATGTGCATTG